GCAATAGGACTAGAGGCAATGGCCTCAAGTTGCATCAGGGGAGTTGTAGACTAGATATTAATAAAAATTTCTTTACTGAAAGAGTGGTCAGACATTGGAATAGACTGCCGGGGGAGGTGGTTGAGTCACCATCCCTGGAGGTGTTTAAAAAACATGTAGATGTGGCACTTTAGGACATACAGGCAGATAGGACAAGCCTCTAGTTCAAAAGCCCTGGTCCTCATGGGAGACTTCAACCACCCCGACAACTGTTGGATGGACAACACAGCAAGGCACAGGCAAGCCAGAAGGTTCCTGGAATGCGTTGAGGACAACTTCTTCCTCCAAGTGATTGAGAAGCCCACGAGGAGAGGTGGAATGCTGGACCTTGTTCTCACCAACAAGGAGGGGCTGGTGGGGAATGTGAAGCTCAAGGGCAGCGTTGGCTGTAGTGACCACGAAATGGTGGAGTTTAAGATCCTTAGGGCAGTGAGGAGAGTGCTCAGCAAACTCGCTACCATGAACATGGGATAAAGCCCTAGAGGGAAGATGAGCCCAGGAAAGCTGGTCAGTTTTCAAGCATCACCTCCTCCAAGCTCAGGAGCAATGCATCCCAACCAAGAGGAAGTCAGGCAGAAATGCCAGGAGGCCTGCATGGATGAACAAGGAGCTCTTGGCCAAACTCAATCAGAAGAAGGAGGTCTACAGAGGATGGAAACAAGGACAGGTACCTTGGGAGGAATACAGAGAAATCGTCCGAGTAGCCAGGGAGCAAGTTAGGAAAGCTAAAGCACTGACAGAATTACATCTGGCCAGGGACGTCAAAGGGAACAAGAAAGACTTCTATAGGTATGTCAGTGATAGAAGGAAGACTAGGGAAATTGTGAGCCCTCTCCGGAAGGAAGCAGGACACCTGGTTACCTGGGATGTGGAGAAAGCTGAGGTGCCGAACAACTTTTTTGCCTCAGTCTTCAACAGCAAGTGCACTAGCCATACTGCCCAAGTTGCAAAAGGCAAAGGCGAGGACTGGGAGAATGAAGAACCGCTCACTGTAGGAGACGACCAGGTTCGAGGATGCCTAAGGAGCCTGAAGGAGCACAAGTCCATGGGGCCTGATGAGATGCACCCGTGGGTCCTGAGGGAACTGGCGGACGAAGTTACCAAGCCACTCTCCATCATATCTGAGAGGTCGTTGCGGTCTGGGGACGTCCCCACCGACTGGAGCAGGGGCAACATCACCCCCATTTTTAAAAATTGCACACCTTGCTAAGCAATCAGGTTGAATGAAATGCTAGCTGTCAGAAATTATGCTGAAAATAAGTAACAGTGAAAATAAATGAAACAACAGTTGTTGTTAGCCTTAGGATTGCCCTATATCTTTATCACATATGCTTGGTAGTCAGGTATATCCTGACCAGTATTCCTCTGTAGTGAGGGGGAAGGAACAGGAAGCAATCCTCCCTATTGCTGAAGAGTGGACACAGTTTCTAATATGGAATGAAGTATGTCAGGCCAGGAACCTGCCGAGGGGCATCATAATCCGTACCATGAGACTGACAGACAGACAGACATACAGAGCAGCTGATCAATCAGTAGGATCGTAAAAGAGTAATAACGGTAAAGCTTGTCACTCTCCTGCCCTCTTTTTCGCTTTTTTTCCTGTTTCTTTCTTGTTTTGTTTTTTTTTTTCCTTTCAATTTTCTTTCTTGTGCTTTTATTTCTTTCTTGTTTTTGCTTCTCTTTCTTGTTTTTGCTTCTCTTTCTTCTTTTCTTCCCCTCCCTTCCCTTCCCTTCCCTTCCCTTCCCTTCCCTTCCCTTCCCTTCCCTTCCCTTCCCTTCC